TTTTGTCTCTAAGGGGAGAAGAAAGTCCTTGACTCCTGAATAGACGATGTGAAGGAGAAGTAAAGGCAAGAGTAATTAGCATTATACGTTCTAGACAGGGAACTAGAAAGAAGTCAGAATAGGGCAATTTTCAAATGTTCATATGAGAATCCATTGGAATTTCTTGACAAGGGCTTCCAAAAGCATCCCTCTGTTGGATTCTTTATACCTCTCTTAGGAAGCCTGTATTTCTTTAAGAAAAATGAAAATAGAACCAAGGAGTCTTTTAGACTTCCAGGTGAAAGCTTATAATGAAGTTTTTAATTCATGAAAAAGAAATGCCAAGCTATTTTAGTTCGCATGCCTTTCAGAAGCACTGTTTAGTGATATGTTGTTAACTCCTCATGGCTCAGTAGGTAAGGTCACCCTGTGAGCCTTATGGGAAACTCGATTCATCAGAGGGTTCAGAGACAACTTACATTCTTCATTAGTGAAGATAGCAGGCTTAAAAGAAATAATATGCAACACAGAATCCACAAAGACTGGACTCACTTCCTAATTCCTCATAAAAGGGAGATGAGTTGTGGTCTGCTTACAGGTGTCCCCACATAGTAGCAAGAATAAATAGTAAAGATAAAGTATAAAGAAAAAATAGCTCTGCTTCCCTGGACCTGCACGACCCACAGGCCTCTCTCTGAGTCGGTCAATTGCACCTCCACGCCTTGACTTCCCCAGCCTCATTCACCCTCCCATCTCTCCCACCAGTCTCTCCTCCTAGCCTGGGTCCTGTACCATTCCTTGTCTTGGCACCTCAGACACAGACACTGGGGTGGGGGGGGCACCACTGCTTCCTGATCCTTTGCATCCAGACCAACCCAGTTCCTTCTCAGGTCCCCAGGAGCCCTCGAGGCCTGGTCCCACCCTCACCTCCCTCTGCTTCCCTGGACCCCACAACCCACCAGCCTGTTTCCTGGAAGCTGGGGCTGTCCTTTCTGCTTCCTGATCCTTTGCATCCAGACCAACCCAGTTCCTCAGGGCAGTCCCCAGGAGCCCTTGGGGCCTCTTCCCACCCCCAACTCCCTTGGCATCTCTGGGTGGTACTGCCACCAGCTGCTCTAGATCAGCATCTTTCCTGGACCTAGCTCCCAGGCCAGTCCAAGCCTCAAATTCCTGAGCCCAAAATCATTCCTGAAGATATCCAGAACTTAGGAGAAAGCCTGAAAGCATATGATCCTCATCTGACTTGGGCCTCTGTGGGAACTCCCGAGAACAAAAGCAATCTGGCCACTCCAATATAAAATCAAAAGAGAGAACCGGACGCTTAGAGGGACCAGCTTTTCACATCCCAGGCCAGTCCAAGCCTCAAATTCCTGAGCCCAAAATCATTCCTGAAGATATCCAGAACTTAGGAGAAAGCCTGAAAGCATATGATCCTCATCTGACTTGGGCCTCTGTGGGAACTCCCGAGAACAAAAGCAATCTGGCCACTCCAATATAAAATCAAAAGAGAGAACCGGACGCTTAGAGGGACCAGCTTTTCACACCCAAAAAGTAAACAACAAAGACACATAAAGTTTACAAAAAGAAGCAGACCTAAACTTGAAGGCTTGAGTCTCACACAAGAATCAGAAACCACAAAAGAAATCCATATGTCAAAGTCACAGAGAAAAAAATAATAACATGAAAAACCAAAATAATATATCCTGACCTAGTACCAAAACTCCTCTAGAGCA